CTTCGGCGCGGCAACCGCTGGCTAAGAAGATCATTGGCGCTTGGCAGTTCCCGCCTATCATCGTGATCGGGCGCTCTGGTCACCGCCACGTCGTTACTGGCGCGCGCCACCATACATGGGCATGGCATAGAGTATTTAGCCGCGCCAGGGAAATAGGCGCGGCAAAAAGTATTAGTTTTAAAAAAAATCGGAAGTGTTAGATTTAAAATTAGTTTTGAAAAAGTGTTAAAATTAAAAAAAATTCTCTACTGCTAGCGTGGTTAAGGTTTATTTAACTGTAATGTAAGGTGCGGATGAGTTTGTGAAAAAATAGTTGTAAGCTATGTATGTGGAAAAAACTACAATTTGTTCAGTTAAAATACCTATAAAATCTACCCCTCTCTGTTTACCTTGAAACAACTACAAAACATCTTTCTATTTCTACAAATTAAAAAAACAAGAAAGCATAAAGCCGAAATCAAAGATCTAAAATGCTATGAAATTAGCGGCTTCTGAAGAAGCAGCTTCTGATTTTATCCATTTGATTGGGGTTCTATTTTTAGCGACAAATGCACTTTACAGAAGCTGAACTAAACGCAATCTAATAACAGGTTGATATGAAAGAAATGTTAACCGGAGAGCATCCATGTTTCTGCTAGTGTAGGTGTATAGTGTAGTGTATCCTACTTGACCATATCATTCACTCACTGTCTCGTTCACTGTGTAGTAAGCTGATCAAGCTGCACTCGATCGATGTGCCCAATTAATCATTCGTCGCTGCTGCTGGAACGCATCGGCTCCACGGCGGCGGCGACCTGCTTAGGCGTGTACCGGGCGGCGAGCACCATGTAGAGCAGCAGGTTGGCGACGCTGATGATGGTCCAGAGCCAGAAGTAGTAGTCCAGGTGGCCGGCGTTGAGGTCCGGCGCCAGCCACCCGGGTCGCTTCGTCACGGCCGCCACCAGCGTCACCACCAGCGAGTTGACGTAGAACCCCAGCGACAGCGCCAGGAAGGAGAAGGCCGAGCAGATGCTGCGCATCGCGGCGGGGGCCTCCCCGTAGAAGAACTCCAGCTGCGCGATCCCGCAGAAGACGTCGGAGCCCGCCACCAGCACGAACTGCGGCACCTGCCACGCGATGCTCATCGGCCCGCTCCCGCCGTGGATGGCGCGGAGCCGGCGCCTCTCGACTAGCGCGGCCGTCCCCAGGGCCAGCACCACCAGGAACCGCCCCACGCCCATGCGCTGCAGCTGCGTCAGCCCGCCGGGGCGCCCCGTCAGCCACCGCGCCGCCGGGATGATGGCGGCGTCGTGCAGCACCACCCACAGGAGCATGAACACCACCTCCACGGACACCAGCGACGCCACGGGCACCTTGAACCGCACGCCCAGCCGCGTGTCCATGGCCATCCCCTGCTGGATGAAGGTGGTGGTCATCTGCCCCAGCGACGCCGCGTACAGCACGCACGTCACCCAGATGGGCAGCATCCGCACCAGGATCTTGACGCCCTCCACCTCGCTCACCGTGCACAGAGACCATTGGCCCTCCTGTGCCTTGTCGACGATCGCGGCAGCCTTGTCAAGGCACCGCAGGCCCTTGGTGCGCGCCAGCCGCAGCTGCTCGCCGTCGCCGTTGGCGTCATCTTCGTGCAGCAGCACCGCAGCGCCGTCGTCCCTTTCCATCCTCACGTTGCGCTTCCTGAAGGCGGCGACGAGCACCCTGATGATGTCCTTGAGCGGGCTGCCCGTCGGCATCTGCACCCTGTAGCAGGGCGTGCCCGCCACGAAGGCGAGCGCGGCCACGAAGAAGCAGGCCGTGCCGATGCCGAAGCCGAGCGCCCACGACACGTTCTGCTCCAGCCACGACACGAGCGTGCCGGCGACGAAGATGCCCAGGTTGATGGCGGCGAAGAACCAGCTGAAGAAGGCCTGCTTCCGCTCCGGCCGGTCGGCGTCGTCGTCGTACTGCTCGGCCCCGAAGGGGAGCAGCGCGGACTTGACCCCTCCCGTGCCGACGGAGGTGAGGTAGAGCGCGGCGAAGAAGACGGAGAACTGCGTCTTGGTCGCCGGCGCGCAGGGCTCCCCCATCTGGCACGCCGTGGCGGGCCGCAGCGACGGGATCGCGGCGGACACGGTGAGGAGCACCAGCCCCTGCCATTCGGCAACAATTGATTGCATTCAGAGTTTCAGACATTCAGTATTTCAGTGAGCGAGTGTCACTGTGTCAGGCAGGCATTCCTGAATCGCACAATAAATTACTTGTACCCACTCACCACGAGGTAGAAGACGATGGAGGCGAGGATGGTCCTGTACTTGCCCCAGTAGCTGTCGGCGAGGAAGGCGCCGATGACGGGGACGATGAAGGTGGTGCCGTTCCAGGTGTCGACGTGGGCGGCGTTGAAGGCGGTGCTCCCGTGCAGCACCGTGGCCAGGTACACCACCAGGTTGAGCGCCACGCCCGAGAAGGCGATGCTCTCCAGCAGCTCGAAGACTGGCCGGATGGGATCAGGAAAAAAAAATCACCAGCAGCTCCCCTCCGGAACCGAAGGCCATGGATCGGGATCAGATTCCTTACCTAGGACGATTACCGGGCCCTTCCAGGTGAAGCGCTTCCTCGCCGCCCCCGACGCGTCGCCGCCGGATTCCATGGACGAAACCGCCTGCTGCTGCTGCTGGTGGCGGCGGTGGCCATTGGAGCCGCCAGGGGGAGGGGGAGACATGCCGCTCTGCGGGGACAGGAACGAGAATGAGAACGATTGTCTCAGGCAACTGCTCTGCTCCTAGTAGAAACTTATAAACGAGATGCAATGCTGGCCACAGACGCGACACGCACGGACTAGAGCAGGCTGCACCCAGGTCCAGGAAGATGACGACCAGATCGCCGCTGGCTAAGGAGCAGCGGCAGTCAATGAGGAGGAATACGGATCATGGATGGATGATATCTCGATTCTTCATCTTCATTTAAATATACTAGGCAGCTCAGCACCGAGGAGTCAAAGGAAAGTACGGATCAGATAGCGTGCGGTGCGTCATCGTCGCCGTCTCGATCGCTCTCCCTCCTTATTCGCATTGCCTTGCGTGATCTCATCTCATTCTCATCAGGGTCGGAGGCCCGGAGCAGAGTGAGAGACAGCGCACGCACGCGCAAGACGAGAAGGGAAGGAAGGAGAAAACCAGGCGGAAAAAAAGGACGTCGAATTTGGAAGCCTGACAGCCAGCGGCGGCGGCGGCGGTTGCAACATTTGGCTAGGATCTCTCTTCTCACTCGCCCACTCTCGTCTCATCTCATCTGCCAACCACCATCCAGCTAGGAGCGCAGATGGATCCAACCAGGCGTGCATGCAAGGACTGGTGGCAATAATCAAGGCAACAAATTAACCAACCAAGGCAACTAGTAACTGGATTGATGGGTGGCCATCAAATTGCCAGCCAGAGTAGAACAGCAAGGAGGAGGAGAATGGCATGAGTAGTCAGTCAGTCAGTACCTGCGTCTCCGGAAGCAGGGGGCCGCCGACCAACCCGCGCCCACACGGCTCCTCCTGCCGCCACCGCTACCGCTACCGCCGCCTATGGGACTGAGATGGTAGTTGTGGGAGCCCCAGCAACCCCAGCACCAGCACCAGCACACGCGGCAGAAGGATACGACGCGACCTCTCTTATACAAAATCTTGGAGACGCGTCGACGTCAGGGTCAGCTTCCCAGATGGCTCACGGCTCCCTTACAAGTGACTCAAGGGGAGGGGGGCAAGATAGCTAGCTCATCAGCTGAAAGAAAGGTAAAAAAGAAGAATATGAACAAGTGACCATCCATCTATCGATCGGTCCATCTCCTCCTTTGCAAGCAGAGTACGTGGCTAGGTACAGCGCAACCAACGGCAGTTGAAGCTCCTGCCCCTCTCAAAACAAGCGGGGAAGGAAATGAAAATGAGATCGTCTCACAGCAGACAGTCCGCAATTCCCTCCTTTGAATATCACTCACTGCCACCGGGGGGCGGGGAAGGCAGGCAGGCAGGCACACAGGACACATTCAGTTGAGAACTACTCGTAGTATAAGACTGCCATCTCTCCCGTCAGCAGCTCGCAGAATAGAACCATCATCTGAAAAACCGTCTGGGCTGGCACTGGCAGCTGGCAAAGTAAGCAGCCCAGGCCGAACGACCTCACGTTGTCAGTCACAACTGCTGCCTGGCCTACTACTCCTCTACTCGATCTCTTCTCGAAAAGGGATTAAAGAAAGATCCGAGCCTTCAGTTGCTTAAACAAATCCGGCTGTGGGGTATCAATGTGACTTCATTGAACTCGTAAATACACACCAATATAGTTTTATATATCTATATAAACACCGTCACAGGCAGCCAGCCATCCACTGTGCCGTGGCGGCCACCAAGTCAATGCTGACCACAGAGCTGTGTGTGCAGCTCCTCAGGTCAACTGGAATCAATCGCCCAACTTGCCTCGGGCGCGCATGGTGTTTGGGCAAAACAAAGGCTGAACCAGATGAAAGCCTGCAACTTGTGCACAAACAATGCCTAAGCTCTTGCGTTGAAGATGAAGCAACAGCAGGGGAAAAAAAACCCCTTGCCCAAAAAAGTCCAGCTCATTCAACTAACGAAAAGATAGATGAACACCACGGGCTGGACAAGTAAAGCAACAAATAAAGTAATGCTCACTCCTTTTCTATCAGTCAGGGGACATGACATCTCAATCTCAATTGCCCAGTTCCATCAGATTAAACAGAGCAAAGGAAGTTGCAAAGTTACATCAGCCAAAGAAACACCCAATCGCCTGGTACCAACACAACATCCCAATCTGCATATTATGCATACAAATTCTCTTCCTTTTTCCATGAAAATTATATATACGAATCGTAAGACAAGACAGTACGATGAATCATCCTAGTAGGCTAGTGCAGAGGACCATGCATTCAAATGAACAGCAAAAGTCTTGGTTCCGGAGTAGTATACACTGCAAAATACAGTAGGATACATGCAGTAATTGAACACATACAGAGAGTCTGGAACCTTACTGAAGGACAACTTTCTTGACCGTATAACGCCTTGCAAATGCCGTGTACACGACATAGTTCACCACACTGATCCCCGTCCACAGCCAGAAGTAGTAGTCCAGGTGGCCGTCGTTGAGGTCAGCGGGGAGCCAGCCCTGGCCACCCCAGGCCGTGGTCACGGCCGCCACCAATGAGACCACCAGCGTGTTCACGTAGTACGCCAGCGACATGGCCAGGAACTGGAACGCCGAGCACAGGCTGCGCATCGATGCAGGCGCCTCGGCATAGAAGAACTCCAGCTGGGCGATGCCACAGAACACGTCAGAGCAGGCCAGAATCATGAACTGCGGGAGCTGCCACCTGATGCTCAGGTTATGCCCGGCCTTCACGCTGCGCAGTCTCCAAGTCTCCACCAGTGCTGCTGCTGCCAGAGATGGGATTGCCAGCAACCGCCCGACGCCCATCCGCTGAAGCAGCGTCAGTCCCATCGGGTTCCCGGTGTACCTCCTGGCTACCGGGATGACGATGCTGTCCTGGAACACAAGCCAGACAAGCATGAAGATCACCTCGGCAGAGTTCATAGAGGCAGCGGGCACGGAGAAGGATCTGATCTTAGTGTTCATCGCGTTCCCCTGCTGAACAAAAGTAGTAGCAGTCTGGCTCATTGCAGCCGAATAGAAGACACAGGTGAACCATATTGGAAGCATCCGGATCAGAATCTTCACTTCCTCCACCTGGGCTACTGTACATAGTAGCCATGTGTGATGTCTGTCCTTCGTCTCTTGGTCCTCTACAACCACAGCAGCCTTATCTTAAGCACCTGAATGGATGAGTTCAGATATGTTTAGCAGAATTCCAAACAAAGGATTACAGAAAGTACATCAATCAATTTACAAAATAGAGTCCATAACATGGCGCTAAACAAAATCTTATCTTAAACAGGAAAATGCCTTAATCGATCAAGAAAATGTGTACTTCTAGGATGAGAAAGGAATAGGCCTTATCCAACAAAAGATGACAAAAATATGTCCATCACAGTTAGGAGAGAGTATTTAATATGACAAAGAAATGTCCACCAAAGTTAGGAGAGAGACATTAATCCAATCCCATATGCAAACGGGGCTACATTGTATCTTTAATTAAGTTGCCTGGGTATTATCTTTCTCCAACAGGCCCATCTATATAAGAGTTCATCTTTTCAGAACATATAACAGTTTTATCAGCTACCTTTCTTCACATGATTTTGAAGCTATTTCCAGTACAGTGAAGCAAACTTTCGAGATTCAGAAAAGTCTTTTGTTCTCAACTCAAGGTACATTTAGGAGTTGATTCGAAAAAAAAAGATGAGTAGCATGGGTACCCCACCCCCCACCCCACAAAAAAAAACACCAGACCCAGTTATTTCAAACATAACAGTTCATAAGATACCTTTTGTTCATGGGATTTCAAAGCTATATGCAGTACGGTGTAAACTTTCAGGTCTAGGACTCTAGGGTCCACATCTAGAATAGTCATTTTATTGCTCAAATCACATAATTCAGAGGTGCATTTCAGAGTTGTTGTCTTTTTTCAATAATTTTGTATTTATTTTTGGCCAAGACATGCTTTCTTTCATCATACAAAGTTTCAGTCCTGCATAATTGCAGGTTCTGGTGAGCAGTAGCGAGATTAGACCCTGTCTATCTTTCAAATGCCTCTTTACTCTTTGTAGGTATAGGTAATGAAGCAATTAAACTAAAGTGTAAATTTAAGTCAACTTTCCCTGCTATGTTAGCTCTGAAGTCCATTGTTGGGACAAAGTGATAAATATACCTGAATTCGTCAGTGTGTTCTATTTTGTTTGGCACTATGCTGCTTGATTCAGTGTCATCCCCTTCAAACAACAGTGTGCAATCAGCAGGAAGCGCCACTCTTCTCTTCTTAAAAGAGGCAACAAACACCATTACTATACTCTTGAGTGGGCTCCCAGTTGGAAGTTGAACCCTGTAAAACGGTGTTCCAACTAAAAAGGCAACTGCGGCGATAACAAGGCATATCTAGGAGATGCCAAATCCAAGAGACCAAGCAACATTCTGCTGTATCCAGACAAGAACAGTGCCGGAGATGAACACTCCGAGGTTGATAGCCATGAAGAACCAACTGAAGAACAATTGTTTGCTTTTACTCTCTTCGAGGTTTGCATCATTGTATTGATCCGCTCCGAGGGGAAGTAAAGCTGATTTGACGCCCCCCGTACCAATGGAAATGAGGTACAATGAACCAAAGAGCACAAAATACTGAAACCCTGTTGCAGGAGGGCAAGAACCGCCTTCACATGATGCAGGCCGTAGGGATGGTATGACAGCAGAGGCAGTAATTATGAGCAAGCCCTATTTGCAGACAATTGTTATGAACATAAGAAGGGGCACATAGCGGAAGAGGATTAGTACTGTATGAAGATGGTGCCTGAACTTACAACGACGTAGAATATTATAGAAATAGCTGCGGTCTTGTACTTTCCCCAGTATGTATCAGCAAGAAAGGCTCCAAGGACCGGTGTAAGAAAAGTGGCACCATTCCACGCATCAACGGTTGCAGCATTGGAGGCAGTGGTTCCATGGAGGACGGTTCCAAGATATACGACCAAGTTGAGTGCTAAACCAGAGTAAGCAATGCTCTCCAAGAATTCGAAGCCTGGGATCACGAAGCAGCACGAGCGGTTAGACAAACAGCGTGTGGTAGATAATGGCCCTGTTCACTTGTCTTATGAGCTGTACCGTTTCAGCGAAGGAACAGTGTTTTTCTCCCGCAACGAATCAGCGAATCGTACTTTCAGCCATGGCTTTTTCAGCGAAACGAACGGGGCCAATATTTATGATAGTGAACTGAACATAATGCAAGGACATGACAGGCATGTGAGTACACTGTTTAGTGCATAACATATGGTTGTGTTAAGATGAGATGAGACATACCCAAAATAATGGCTGGGGCCTTCCAGCTGAAGGGCTTGTTATAGTGCTGATTCGCTGAGGAAACCTGCAGGGAGAAAAAGAAATCACCATGTTGTGGGACTGAAACGAGGAAACAAAGCACGCAGAGTATTGGTGAAAGAAAACAACAAGTCGTGTTTGTTTTTTCTTTCTTTCTTTCTGAACCAATGAACCAGACAAGCATGGTTTCGGAGTTTCGGACACTACAAATTAAGCCGTGGTAGGTGAACAAACACATGTACTCCAGTGAAGAAGCAGAGCAGCAGTAGAACTGTAGCAAGGATGAATCGGACCGGGAGACGCGAAAAAGGAGGAGCGCGGAGGGGATTGGGGATTCGGTTACCTGCGTCTGGCTGGGAAGGTGATGCGGCAGCAGGGGAGACCGGGTATCTCCGGTCTCCGCGTCCATCGCGGCGGCCGGCGGCGCCTGAGCGAGCTTACCTCCCTCTTCTCCTCTTCTTCCACGGAGAAGGGAGGTTGCTACTCCAGGTGTAGGTCCAAGCAAGGGCAGAAGAAGGGAAGGAGGCCAAGCACGGATGGAGCCCCAACTATAATAATTAACTATAATAATTACATGATGCCTATTTTAGGCCAGCAAATCAATAACATGTAAGTGGAAAAAAGTATTTGATGAAGTTGGACTCAAGCAATTAACACACTTAGATTTAAAGCACAACATTAGATAGAATTACATTACAGATGAAAATAGCAAAAACTACCACACGCATCCAACAACTACGGACGACAACAACGGCAAGAGTACAATACAGGAGGACAGCGACGAAAAGCACTACTGCTACGGATATAGCATCCCAAGGCAACTAATATACCTTGGAACCACGCATCTTTATTCGTGTGCTCGGCGGATTCTTCTATCGCTCTGGCTATGGATCTGCATCTTTTCGTGGCAATGGCTGAGTGAGAGGAATCAAGGGTTCTGCTTCTAACACTTCCGAAGTTGGAGGTGCTGGCGGTTCTGCATCACCGGTTCTCCTTCTTTCAGGCAGGTGGATAGAGATCCCCTCCAAGATCGGGGTATCCTGTCTTTCATCAACCAGTGTCCTCCGCTTGGCCCTAGTGAACTGATAGGCCTCACCCAGCTGATGAACATGTCGATCTTCGGCCTCCTTTAGAGCTTCTGACATGGCAGTCTTCCAGCTCTCAGCAGCTGCAGCACTGGCATGCGCTTTGGCGAGCTGCACCTGGAGCATCCGAGTGAAGATCTCGGCTTCTTCGGCGTGCCGGAGGCACGCCCTCAGCTCCAAGGCTTGCCGGTCATACTGCTCATCCAGAGCAAGCAGGTATGTGGTCAAGTGCACCACGGTAGGACTATCTTCTTGCGCATCCTGTCCTTGCAAAGCCTCCATACGATCCCTCCATGCCCATCGATTCCTATCCAAGGGTGGAAAGAACCTCATGGGGGTACGGGCAATGGACTCTTCATAGAGCTGGCAAAGGTACCGCAAGGCTTTACGGGCCACAACCTGGTAGGTGTCGGTGAAGCTAAACCCAGTTGCGGTCACACTCCAGGCTTCGATGACGTCGAGGAACGCTTCACTCTTCCCAATGTAGACGGTAACCTCACACCGATCGGTGCCATGCTTCTCATACTCACGGTCCTCATACTCGGGACGATCTTTGACTCCGAGCTTTTGCAGGGCGGCATGCAGGATTCTAGAAAAACCCTCAACGTTCAAGCAGTAACTACTAACCTAGACTCCTGCCATTTCTGGCGGTGGCTACAAAGAAGGGTTGAGCAAAAAGCTTGCTCAAAGGGAAAACCTAAGCGAGCTAAAGTGCGCCGAGTGGTGGTACCAATGGCTAAGCCAGGCTCTGCTTATAAAGGCGGAGCGGTCTGTGGTCCTAGCGCGGTTCACTAGGGTTCCTGCGCGGGATCACTACGAACAAATCGACCAAATTCCATGCGTTCGAGGCGAGTGACGTGCGGTGCCATTGCTGAGTAGTATGACTATAGGGCAAGGGTCCGATAAGAGCGCAGAAAAGGGGTACGAGGAGACGTGGGTCACTACTGACGTGACTCACGGGTGAACGCGGAGCACAAAGCCACAGCGCAGACCTAACTCTGTAACAAGAACGAGTAGGCCATGCACACTACGACACGCGTGACACCTATGGTTGGCGTATCTGCCAGCAATATGACACAATAATGCATAAACAGGATATGCATTAATGCACGTCCTATGCGTCCGAGGTGAGCAATGTCCGAGGCCATTAATGACTAATACGGTTGCAAGCCAAGGTCCCGACAAGAGTCCAAAAAAGAGTGCGAGGAGACTTGGGTCATGGTAGGCGTAACTGCAGGCGACGCAAAGCACAAAGCCACAAGGAATAAGCGCCTCTGCAAGCATGGATGTAGATGCAATTATGACAGTTGTAGTAATGGCGACCAACCCCAACCACCTACCATCTTGGGAGCAACATGCACACAACCCAAGTCGTGTCTTAGATGCATGGATGCATGTGTAAGTACAAATGGTCCTACATGGTTGGTGAATCGTTTTTATCTGATGGTAAGGAGGAGAGGCATTAAATGTGTCCACCTGCCCGACTTATTTTTATTTGATGGTAACATGAAGGGGAGGCATCAAATGTGTCCACCTGCTATCGACCCACCCTGTGTAGGTAAAGATGTCCAGTGCTTTCAAACTTACTTAGTGAATTTCTGGATACCTTAGGGAATGGCTTCGGACACTGCTCATTTCATGCGCGTAAAAATCCTGACGCTTTCCTTTTATTGGTCTCAGCGCCAGACTAAATAGTGGATTGCGCAGGACCAATGACCACTCCACCATTACAAAAGGCCAGTGGTGCTCAAAGGAAAAGCTAAGCGAGCTAAAGTGCGCCGAGTGGCGGTACCAATGGCTAAGCCAGGCTCTGCTTATAAAGGCGGAGTGGTCTGTGGTCCTGACGCGGTTCACTAGGGTTCCTACGCGGGATCACTATGAATGAATCAACCAAATTCCGCACGTTCGAGGTGAGCGACGTGCGGCGCCATTACTGAGTAGTACGACTGCAGGGCAAGGGTCCGATAAGAGCGCAGAAAAGGGGTATGAGGAGACGTGGGTCACTACAGGCGTGAACCATGGGTGAACACAGAGGACAAAGCCACAGTGCAGACCTAACTCTAGAACATGAATGAGTAGGTCATGCACAATACGACACGCGTGACACCTATGGATGGCGTATCTGCCAGCAATGCGGCACTATAATACACAAACAGGATATGCATGAATGCACGTCCTATATGTTCTTTCACTGTTGCCAACATATAGGGAAACTGGTCTCAGCTTTTTGGCACATCGTTCTCTCCCTGTTGGCGACCAACCCCAACCACCGACCACCTCGGGAGCAACGTGCACACAAACCAAGCTATGTCTTAGATGCATTTAATGCCTCTCCCCCACAAACCTGATTCCCTTGCCCTTAATGCTGCTCAGTGCCACCGATAATGATGCGCACCCACCCTCTAAACCCGCCGTCAATCGTCTATAAAACGCCCCCAGCTCCCCCTTCACAACAAGCACTCCACACTCAACACTAATCACCTGCATAAGCCCCCTATTCAAATGCCAACCTATCTCAACTTTTTAAGAAGAAGCCTGAGACAAATGCTGCAAGCTGGAGACTATCGAAGAAAACATCAAGTAGGAGCTGGAGTACATTGTTAGAAGCAAGAAGCTGACACTCTCAAGATGTGCTTAGATGAAGATGAGGTCACCATGACCATCTTTGCTATCCTAACTCCTACTATGGTGGCATCAATCATATTGTATATCCTTGTAATGCGCCCGCTACCCAACGAGAGGCCCTAAGATAGTTGTTGAAATAAGAAGAGTTGAATAAATATTCAAGCTTGGCGGGTTTATTCAAATTTCGAGGGCATAGGGCCTGTCCACAACTTGACTACGCATGACTAAGCTATTTCTTACATTCACCAAATAAATAGCAGCGCAATTCCTATACCAGCTATATTGTGATGCGAGGACGTTTGCAATTGTCATTGCGGTTAAGTTTTTACGTGCCTAGCATAGTATCAGTGCTAGGTTGTTTCTAGGGTTGTATAGGTAGAAGTAGATAGGTATAGGATACCATTACTCAAATATACATGGGTAGATGTTTAATACAGATAATATTGAGATACTGCGTTGTGCAGAGATGACCAGCCTGGTTGGGCAATTACAGTTGGTGCTGAGGCAAGTGCTTCATCATTGAGTAATGCGGTGCGTATGCAGGCAACAGAAAGCTTTTGAATGTCAATATATAGACTGCAATATATAATTTTTACGGGAGCAAGTACATATTCATATATTACATGCATAATAGCTGTCGTATGGTACAACTGCAGAATATAGTAAACCTAAAGTAGAAGATGTACTAAGCGGAGATACATCAATAGATGAGGCCATGAAATGGAGCCACTTGAGCTCACGGCATGGTTGTGAGTTCTTGCTACTGATTTATGTCCAGCCGTTTCATTCCGATGAGTCCACTGAACCTACGGAAGATGGAAGGAAATGAGAGTATATATAATCATGTCTTAGAAATGTAGCGACATTGCATTGCAAGTATTTAGTCTCAATGTTTCCATGTTCTGAACATAATATGTATCCATTTGAAATGAGTATATATAATCACGCCTTAGAAATGTAGCAACATTGCAGGTATTTAGTCTCCACAAAACAGAGCAATCTTTGCATACAACAGAAATTGTAGCCTAAGTGCCATGTTTCATGAGAGAAAGTCAAAGTTATAATAATTGTAAAATTATATGCTAACAATGACAGATAATGGAGCTAAGAGCATAGAGTTTAGTAAGAGCATGAGTATAAGTCCCACAGCTCATGAGGGAATTGGGCATAGACTATAGAAAGTAAGTCTCATAAGTCTTTTTTTTCCATTGCAGAACTCAAAAGAGAGCCTGAATCGGAAAACCATAATGAGAATACTAAAGGGGTCAAACAAAGAGGATGAGGTGGCAAAGTGGATAGGGAGGTGTCTAACCCTTGCCTAGACAATATCATAGCTACATGGTGCGGTACAGTATAAGCGAGACCCCAAACAAGGACCTGGACCAGTACATCCTTGCAAAACAAATAAAAAGGAGATGAGGATAGGTAATGGGAATCAAGCAAACGGACCAAAGTAAGAAAGGAAAGTTAGAATATCGGGATGTTATATGACAATCGATGAAATGGCAAAGACATCTTGATCTCTTCTTTTCTCGGCGGTGGTCCAAAGCAACTACATATCTCTTGGCGACCTACATAACTTGAAGCAAAGGAATATCGCATCAGTCATAAATGTATTAATAATTTCTAAGCAAAAAGAAGGCGGATGGCGACTGATAGGGCAACCATGTTTAACCTTCATAGATTATATCCCATAGGA